TGAATGACACGTGGCACCACGTGATTGGTCCACGTGGGGGGAAAATCCCCTAATCAATATGATTTTTTCAATTTTAATTTTTTTTTATTTTTTTTTTGTTGGGTGTTAGTCTTCTAACAAGTTTTCTTATACTTTAGTTGACTTATACAAAACAAAAGTATTAGGATTGCTACCATATTTCTAGTTAATGTCTTTTCAAACAGTATTATCGGTTTCACTTTAGCTTAACACCATTCAATTAATGGAGTTAATATCGAACCCAACCTTGTTAATTAATTGCTATTATTAGTTGGGAGGATCAATAGTTGTCACTCTTTGAATAATAATAACACGGAGTAATAATAATACTACTATAAAGGAAATGATAGACCAAGAATATTTTTGGTACGTATGTACGGACACGTTTTCACCTCGTCTTTTGGTAGTGATTCTACTCAAATTAATTACATTTTCCAACACAATAAAATTTGTCTAATCAATTACAACTAACAACAAAGATTTTTCACTGCAGTAACCGTACAAGAGATTCTTCATTCATCAGTTTCTGTTTAGTTTGGGAAGGAGCGATTAGCTGAATCCCACTAATTTTGGAAAGATATACTCCCAAGTGCAATGAACCAATGCCAATTAAAACTATACTACATACCGACTGCGAAGTATCTTTTTATAGATGCACTTTTAAATTTACGGACTTCTACACAATTTTTAGAGTAAGAGATAGATAGAAATAATTGAAGAGGGTTCATGCAATAAGAGAGAGATAAAGAGAATAAATTGAAACTTTCGTTTAAAAAAGTGATGCATCTAAAAAAAAATGAAAGAATTATTTAATTTGAGCCCCTCGAATTTTGAAGATCTATGTATGGTTAGTCACATTGCACACCTTTGGTGTCTCTCTATATTAACCGTATTCCTTTTTTACATTGAATGATGTTTATGTTAGTCTCTCATATGATTTTATTTTTAGGGTTTTGCACGCGAGTATTCCTTAATTGATTTCAATAATGAAATATTATTATAATGATTAAATCGTTAATTGAAAAGGACCAACCTACACTATCTTTTCAAAAAATGGAAGAGATAAACATCACTACATGAGGAAAATCAACAAGAGTGTAGGGTTTAGATGCCCTTAAGCCATAAAATCAGTCACTTGGTGTTTATATGACAACATCCTTTTTCTTTCAATTAGTCTTCTTACTTTGACATTATAGCTTTTCTACACTCAACTTTACCTACAAAATGATCAAAATTGATCACAAAAAGTCAAGTCAGGAAAGCCAAATATAAAACTAACAAATTACTTTAATCAATGTAATATAGATTTTTGTAACACTCGTATAGTCAAAGTAATATTACAATAACGTAGAGTGAATTGAAAAAAAAATTATAAGTACGTATTTAGAAATCGAGGGAGTATATTTGAAAGGAATCAGGTAAGGTTATAGAAGTATTCCATAGCATGGATTTGGTACAAGGCCTAAAGGGGTACTCCGTAGAATGAAGCAGGAACCTCCACAGTCCACATCTCGTGTGATGAGACAAAATCTGAGTTATAGCCCACATCAAGATGCAGATTGGTCCACAGATTCTCATTGATAAGTGTTTTTGACTAAATTGGGACCCTTTTTTTAAAAAAAAAAAAAAAAACTTTAATGCTTCTAATTTTCTACACCGTAGTTGCCCTTATATTAATGTGCTAGGATATTTTAAACTACTAGTAGACTCTCTGTACTCCGTACATGGTTAATTTTGAGTTACATACTTTCTCTAATTTCTTAAACATGTGCGAGTAAACATTTTAACAATGTAATCTTTGACAGGTTGATATTATGAAATAATCGATCAAGATTAATAGATGTTTTAAATAAATATGAGATCAAAGTTAGTGTATAAATGTAATAACTCGTATTTTTATATTTTTTTAATTTATATTATTATTTTATAAAGTATTTAAATAATTCGAAATGAATTATTTATGATATTTTATTAATTTAAAAAGGTTTATTTTAATTAAAGGTCCATTTTAATTTATTTAATTTTTTTGAAAATATTTTATTTTATTATTTAGAAACTTTGGGACATTATTTTATAGAAGAAAGTTTTAAAGTCAATGGAATTTTAAAGGAAGTCAAATGACTAGTTTGAATAGGAGAAGGGATCATTAAGGGTAGTGAGAAAATTTAAGGTTAAGAGGATTTTGAGAAGGGGTATAAATTCCCATCTTATGAGCAAGTTAGATCTTGCCCAAGGTAGAGAATACCCAAAGGTAAACTCTCTCTCTCCTCTTATTTTCTCTCCCTTAATTTTTTCCCTTCCCCTTTTATTTTACACAACACACGCACACACACATGGTGGCTGCCCGCCACCACCACCACCACTTCCCACTGCCTCCAGCAACAGCCGCTGGCGTGGAGGGCAGTAGCAGCCCCCTCCCGTCGTGCGGTTGTGTGTGTTTTCTAAAAAAAAAAAAACTCTTCGTTGTTTTAATTTTAATCTAGCCTTGATTTAATTATTTTTTTTGGGTTCTGTGATGATTTTCATGATTTTTTATTATGATTATTATGTATATAATTTTCAGTTTTAGTTTTTGAATTAAAAAGCTCCAAATTGAAAACCCTAGGTTTCTAAATTAATGTATATTGATGGAAATTGTTTGTAGATGATTGAAATTATTGTAACGGGTGTTTTTAAACATAATTGCAACAATTATACATGTTTTATAAAGCTAAAATTTTTATATAAAGATTAGAAATATGTTTCTTGAAAGGATTTTTAATTACCCATTAATTGGGAATAAAAGTAGGGGTTTTAAATTAATTTTTAGCATGTTTTAGAGGGTTTATAAGTGATTAATATTGCTGGAAATTTATTTTGAATAGGTACTAATGTTTCTTTGTAATTGTGGGTTGTAGAAGATTTTCAAGTGAGTGATTTTGTGTAGTCGTGGCGATTTTGAGATCATATTCGAGGTACGTTCGCGTACTCAATAATTATATAAGTGCATAGAAACATGTTAGGCTTTGTTTAATTAATTTCGAGGTAGTATCATGATAGGAATTGGTTGGAATTGTTGATTGGATTGATGTTGGTGATTGATTTGTGAAGTATGAATTATTTGTGGTAAATTGATGATTGGAATTAATTATGTTGAAATGTTGAATATGAACCACACTTTTGTTATTGGCATGATTGAGAGCATGTTTAATTAAACTAAAGGTTTAATTTGGTTTGGAATATAAAAAGGAATTTTTTTGATGGTTCATATAATTTTATTGATGCTTTAAGCATGGGAATTTTAAGCTATTAAGTGTCTTAGTACACAGAATAAAATGTATTGCGGTGCCTAAGTGCACTTAAGGTGTTCTAAACACCAAGGGATAGGATTTGTGGTGCTTTATGCGCATAAGGTGTTATTTAACGCCGAGTTAGTTTAAAAAGGGTTCAACATTAAATTTATGTGGTCACTAATTCAAGAATTAAATTGGTGTGTTTGATTGCTTGAATGATTTATTATGATCGATTGTATTATGGTCTGAGAGTCATCACCAAGTCTAAAAATATGTAAATAACGTAAAGTGAAAGAGATTACGCACCAAAACTCTTGGAACGTATATACCTTGAGTATGAACATATGGGGGGAGTTATACGACTTTATATTTGATCATAACTTCTACTGGGAGTACAAGACACTGCATTTTCCTTTATTTATTTTATGCGCAGGACGTCTAGTCACTTTCATGTGGCATTTGCCTACCCGGTTTTCCCGGTATAGCTTACCTCAATTTATTTGGGGCACAAATTTGGTGGAAAACCCGTTCGATGCGTAATCAAATTAGTTATCTATTTGTTGGTTGGCTGTGTTGTATGCTTGTAAACAAGTGCAACAAGGTAAGTTGTGTGTTGATAGGATGAAAACATGTTAGTGTGTACTGTTTACGTTTATGTACTCAGCTTTGCTAATTGTGTGTTTGTATGTTTGTTTGACCTTGTCTTTATCTTAGCCCTACGACGACCCATTTCTAATGGCTAGTAGTGGGGACAAAGTAAAGAGAAACTTTTCAGGTGATGAAGCATGTTCATAATGGGCATGAATGAAGAGCGAATCATGCTTTGTTTCTATAAGAATATGATGTGGTTTATTGCTTTGATTATCATATATATTGCTTGTGAGACTAACACAAAGATTTTTTTTAAAAAAAATTTGTTTTGGGTTTTGATAAGGGCCTACAATGGTTCCAAGTTGTAGGTTGACTTCGTTTAACTTTGGTTTGACTTTACTTTCATTTGGTTTGACTTTTTAAGTTAACTTGTTTAAATGGTTTTTAAAGTGAGTCTTCCGTTGTGTGTCTGTAATAATTGTCTCAGCCGTTTTCACGGTGGCGGTAATGTCTTAGAATTTCCTATTTCGTATTTTAAAAAAGAGCAAAACAAGTATTTTAAAGGAAAGTGAGTCTTTTGGTTTGGCTTTTAAAGTAGGTTGACTTCGTTTAACTTTACTTTAGTTTGGTTTGACTTTTTAAGTTAACTTGTTTAAATGGTTTTTAAATTGAGTCTTCCGCTGTGTGTCTTTGATAGGTGTCTTAGCCGTTTTCACGGTGGCAGTAATGTCTTAGAATTTCCTATTTCGTATTTTACAAAAGAGCAAAACAAGTATTTTAATGGAAAGAAATTTCTAGGGTGTTACAATAAATAATGTACATACATTCAAATCATTGTAATGTTAAGGACATCAAAGATAAAATAAATTCAAACACACTGATCATATAAATTATGCCACGTGGAAAATAAGTTCTACTACTACGTAGTATATTGAATACAAGTTCGAATTTGAACCAACAAAGTATAAGTTGAAGTTGAATTAGGGTTGAGAATGTAAGCCTCAGCTGATAGGAATGTTTCAGCTTGCCAACTTCAGTTCCATCTGTTATACTTTGTACTTCTTAGTTTTGGGACCATTATTTCTAACTCAACATCAAAATCAGATAAAAACAGAAAGCTAAAACAAAAAGAAGGTACTCGTATACGTATTTGCATTAAGATATCACACGTACAAAAAGCAGGTACTGCATATGAACTCGGACATATTTACAAACATTTATGATTAAGAAATTACAAGTATATATAGTTCTCTAGTAATAACATTTTCCCTGTCTTAAAGGCAGGCGATGGCGGCATCTGATGAATTGAACTTCATACATATAGTACATACGGCATAAATTATCTTCTGTATTATGGTATCATATAATACAAAATTGCAAGCCAAAAAGTATCAGATGTATATCACTGCAGCATGTAGCATTTCACCCACAGAAAACATATCATTTTAAGGCGATTATGACATGGCTCAAACAGCATACACCTTAATCACTTGGTCAATATTGGTGCGACATACAGGACAACCCCATTTCTTGGCTTTTATTTCATTCAAACACGACATGCATCCAGCCATGTGGCCACAGGGCACGCATGCTCCCTCAACTGGAGCATCGAAGCATATTACACATGAAGAAGATCCAGCTCTCTTGCTTCCATCTTCTGTAGTATAGTCCTTTTCAAACATGTTTGGATCAATGGTTGGATAATGGATTGGACCATCGGGCAGAACCTCATCGGTTAGAGTTGGGGCTGATGGAATTGGCATTGGTGTTGGAGCGTCACTGCTTGATATAGCAGAAGTGCCGCTAGGCCCTCCTTCCTCAACAAATTGTTCTGAGCAACTTCCTTTGTTTGAAGTAGGGTCAACTTGACCATTGAGGGGAACAGAATGAATAGCGGTAGATGAACTTGCTTCATTGGAAGCATGGGCATGGTCGAGGGGGATGCCCTCTTCCATAGCTGACTGAAGAGATGCATTTATTGCCATGGCTAATTCCAAATCTTCCTTGGGATCAGATGAGGTATCCGCAGCAATTGGCGAGGCTTCTGCAGCAGCTGGCGGGGCAGTTATTGAAGCAACTGGTGTAGGAGTGTTAAAGGGGAAATTGGCATGCATCACCTAATGAAAGCAAGAATAGGTTAAGGCAAGCTGAATGCTGTTCTTTCTCAATGGCATGTAAACAAAAAGTGTGCATGAAATAGGTGCTGGAAAAGTGATTATATAGAACACAACAATATTATTCATTGTTAAAAGATTGAGACAAAACACTTGAAACAGATATACTAGTTAATAGAACAGCACTACAGATATCAAAAGAAGCTGTATCCTGAGATGAAAGGATAGCAGCTTTGTAAAAAGGTTATACCTGTGGTATCCCCTTGCATGCACTACAGAACTGCTGAAGTTGTTGCTTGTCACTTTCATTAAGTGGTGCGAGTTTAATGCGCGCCTCTGTAAAGGTGATAATCAAGTTCAGAGCACATTTTAAGCAATTTCAAAACACAGTTCAATCAGAAAACAGAAATAATAATCCAGCAGAAGTCTGAACTCTAAAAGTTAATGATTGGAATTTAAAGTGTAGCAATATGGAGCATGCTTGTTGAGTAGCATTGAACACGAACCTAAAAAATAAGCAAGTGAAATCACGCATTGAATGAACACTAGAAAGTTATAGTCCACGGCAAGCAACTGTAACATATATGCCAAGTTCCCCAAGAAGCTATGCTTGTTATACGAAGTATATAATGAGCAGAAATGATAAAACTTTGTGAAAGTTACATGTCCATAATATATGAATGAGTTGTCATTCACCTAAACCAAGGTTCATTTTCACTAGTAAAGGATATCCTTCTTAACCTTATCGCATGAATATCATAACCAAGTTTATGATTTGTGGATGAGTCTAGGACAATTACAAACTTAAGGCCAAAATATGTGAAGGTCAGACCTATCAGAAAGTAACCAAAATATGGAACACGCCTAAAGATGACATTCTATGGCTCAATTCAAATTTCAAAGGTCCTTAGATGACTTACGACTAACATGTCGAGGCCTACAACTTCTCCTTCTTCGACGCCTTGGAACTAACAACAAAGACAAAAACCAATCAAGGACTGCAAATGACATTAGTTTCTTTGAGCAACTGGAGAAGTGGGATGGAGTTATTACTGGCAGATGCTTCGGAAATTGTAACTGCAGGATCAGGCTGGTTGAAATCCGGTTCCTCCATATTGGCCCTCCATAAAGCAATAGAAGTACGAGGTTGAGCATCCTAGTAACCAAAAAATTAAAGAATATGGGTTAAGTTAGATGTTGAAACAAAAACTATCATGGGATAGGGAAATATAGCTAGATTGGGAAATCCTCAACAAAAAATGTTTGCATGAAACCTGTATATTTGTATAAATGGCAAGCTCCAACTTGAAAGGTTTTCTGAGATTACGAGAACCACATGGAAGAACAGCTACCCACCTGAATCAGATAATTTAAAAGAGGGATCAGGATTTCGTATAATCATTTGATCATCAGAATAAAGAGCTGCCAACATGGTCACATAGCTACTAAGGCAAGAACAGAACCACCCCACCCAAAGACACATAAAAGCAGTAATTCATCAACAACCCAGTCACAAACTCCAGTAGGCTTAACTGCCGGCTGAACAAGATGAGAAGTTATATGGTGTTTACACTCACACTTTTCTAGAAATGAGCTGTGGGGCTAGCAGCTCCAGAAATCCTGGTCCATAAAGCTCCCGCAACCAGCCAGAGTATAAGCAAATGTGATTCTACAAGTATCAAAACAGAAATATAGAATTAGTTCCGTGTAATTCTCACTATTTTTCATGAATAGTTAATGTAACTAAGGTCTTCAGAGCAGAGAATTACAAAAATGATACCTCAATCGCACGAACTACATTGCTGTAGCCTTTTGCTCTAGCAACTTCTAGTGGAGTTTGACAACCATCATTGACCATTAGAGCATTTGCTAAAAACAGAGGGAGAGCCAAAAATAATAAATAACAAAAAAATTAGTATATATAGTAAAATCATTAAAAAAAAAAATCCAACTTCCCACAGGAAAGAGCAGATTGTGCAAGTGAAATTGTAATAAATTTTAGTTCAGTTTCTTTTTTTTAAAACTAAATTTAGTTCTGATACGGAGTATAAATTTAACAGGTACAAAGAAAAGCTCAAGTATACTAGTCTTCTTAATTAGTGTCTGTACAAAATCAACCCTCACATTCAATCTTAAATCATGGAAATGATGTACCACATATAAGAAAATACCTCCATGCGAAAGAAGCAATTTCACAGTATTTTCCAGGCCCCGTTTTGCAGCATGATGTAAAGGTGTTCCTCCATTACCGCCTGGATGCGTCATTCGCAATAAAAAGCACATCAGTTAAATATGCAGACAGTTTGTTATACTAGAATAAGCAAGCAACTTCAAAGGCAAAGATACACAATCTAGAATACTCAACCATTACAGAGAATCAGAAGGCAGCCATTGGCCAATTAGCTTATACATAGTTATATAAACCAGAATGAAATGTAAGAACAAGCAATTCACGACTCCATACCATAACATTAATATACATATCATCTGCCTACACAAGTTTAATGAAGTAGAAACATTAATGTATGGTCACGCAGATGACATTGGATTTATGATCTTTAACAAACAATATTCACAAAATGTGCAAAATATCTCATTTTTAAAGTTTAAATAGGCACTTGCAGGTAAAAAGGGCAGCCTCTTAGCAATCAAGCTACAACTTTAGCTAATAACAAGCAATATGATCAACTTAAATCAATTTTGGCACCAACAAATCACCAAACAAGCAACCAAATGTCGAGACGGGTCAAAATCATTCCAAACAAGCTCGGGGCTTTAGAATAACCATAACATACACAAATGGCAACAACAAGCCAATTTTCGGTACCTGAGCGATATGCATTGACATTGGCACCCAACTCTATCAAAGTTTTAGCAACATTATAGAGTGCTGGATTCAAACAAGCAAGTGCTAATGGAGTCTTCCCTTCTCTATCTACATACTGCAACACAATCATCAGTTCAAACAAATTAATTTCCAATAATCCCCAATTTAGCTGTATTGGCAATACCAATCCACAACATTACATTAGACAATGGTTCATAAAAACCCTATAATTTTCATAACCAAAATACAAAATGAACAAGTTAATTCTACAAATCACCAACATTATTTGAAAACATTAGCAGAATAAACTAAGACCCCTTTCCCCAAAATACAAAATTGCGTAAATAACATTTCTAGTAACCTAAAAATGCAATTTTTAATCAATTGACAAATTTAAAATTCAAGACCCATCATTTATCTTTGTTAAAGTACTCTACAACCCAAATCACACAAAATCCAAACCCAAAATTTTAAAACCCTAATTTTCCATAATTTCACCCCAAAATTAATAAATTGTAATTAAAAAAAAATCAAAATTTATTTTCTTTGTAAACTGAATTATTAGGAAATTACCTCAAGTCCAGCACCTTCACTGTGTAGAGATTTAATGCCATCGATGTTGCCATAAGAGACTTGCTGGTACAACAATTCATCCTTTGATTGTTGCTGCCCCATTTTTTTTTATTATAATTATCAACAATTACAATTACAAAGTGAAAAAAAAAATATAATAATGATAAACTCAACAATCAAATTTTCTGGGTGGAAAAAAAAGGAAAAAACAATACCCTTATCAAGGATATTCAAGAGAAAAAAAATAAATAAAAAAAAATAGGGATTTTGATGAGATAATAATCCCAAATTCAGAAATTTCAAGAATATGTGTTTTTTTTTTTTTTTTTTTTTTTTTTTGAATAAATCAAGAATATGTGTTTGTCGCTTGCGTGTATGAAATGTTCATAAATGAAGAAAATGACGGAAATTGGGTAGTCCGTAGTTGATTTTACAGTATATCTTAATAATGAATTGATAATAATGACATTAAATACGGTGTTTTTATTTCTTGGTGGTTAAGAAAAATGTTTACAAGAGGAAGTTTCCTAGTGTACAATAATGTATTCAATACTCTACAAATTTAGGCCCTATTTAGCTCAGCTTATTTTTGCTTATCTTTGCTGATTTAATCTGATTTTCATATTTGGTCTAATCTGGTTTGGTCCGATCTGAATTCATCTGATCTGATCTTATCGTCTGATTTGACCAACCTTTGACCTTAAGTATACGATAATCTGTAAGGAAAAAATATATAAGTGAGATTTTGTTAGATTCATAATAATGTGTATTTTATTAATATGTAATTTTTATAATTTTTTTCATTACGAAATTAAAGGTATTTAGTTATTAAAAAAATGTACATAAAACGATAATTTAATCTGAACTTATTTTTTCTAATCTAATTTGATCTGAAGTAACTAAACAAAAATTTAGATCAGATTAGTCATACAAATACGAAGTAACTAAAGGTAGTCTTAACTCTTAAGCCGTTTTTCTCACGAGTCACGACTTCATGAGAGAGTTAAGATCTTACGGAGTATGTACTATAGTGATTGGGCATGATGAGGTGTTAGAGTAAGTTCCTAACTTAATGGGAAGGTTGAGCTTTGACACGTTAAAGAAACCGCACATTAAACATTGATAGTATTGTCTTGCATTCTTGTAATATTATCATGAAATTTTAAATTAACATATTTTACATGGAGTAAAAATATCTTTAATGCTTAATTTAAAGCTTATGAAACGAGTAGATCATATTTGTTAATCTAAATGATACTTTGGAATTTTTTTTACAAATCAATCCCTAACAATAACAATATCAATGCATCAATGCAGGTTATATCTATTGACCTGCATGTTATTTGTTAATTTATACGAAGTATAGGTGTTGTCCTGTACAATTAACATAGTTAATGATTTACATTTTACAGTAACTGTTATTTACAGAAATTTGTAAACTAAACATAGTCTAAGCCATTCAATTACTGTTTGCAAGCTTGTGACGAACTTTGAGGTAGCTGTATGTTAAGGTAGTACATATATATACCTTCTCTACGATCTAGAATGTAAAAAACTATTGTTCAACAAATATCCAAAGGTTCAACTGACTACGACTCTACAAGCACTCGATCCATGAATGGATGATTAAAGAATACTCAGAGCTTGGCAAAAAATGAGTGGACTGTAATCTTCTATACAATCACGCTACAGAAATCTTCACAACATTCAGGCTTCAGAAAACTTTTGCATCTCATCAAGTTCGAGTTCAAATTTTACAACTGCTGCATCCTCCTCCAAATGGCAGTTACTAAAAGAAGATAAAACACCAAGTAAAATTACAGTCAATAATTTAATTATGCTATAACTGCAGGAAACAGATAAAGTTATCATAATAATTAGTTCACCTGTTTTCGACACGTCCATGATCCTCCATTGACTGGAACCTGTAGATAACTCTACCTATTATGTCCATGGCTGGAACAGGACCAAAGGTACGGCTATCATTGGCTTCCTGCAAAGATAAAATACATATTAAATAGAAAGTAGAAACATGTAATGAACAAGACATAGGAGAGGTACATTAGAAATTGTACAATAAATCACTTAAGAAGCTTGAGGAAAATGGCAGAACATAAATTAAGCGAGAAAGCAGAATCAGGAAATCTATACATAGAGGACGGAAGGAAGAAAAGGAATTATGAGAATATTTGATGACTTAAGTGTAGCTTTGTGTAGTTATAACTCAAGTCTCCCAAATACATTATGATGACATCAATCTTTAATTTTCTGTAAAATCCACTTCATCAATCAAAGCCACCATTTCCAATTTATAAAATATGCTGATTTATATCAGAATATTACTTCATTATGCAAAAGCAAGAAAGAATACACCTTTGGCAGAAGAATCAATGAGAATTGAGCGCTAGCAAGGGGGTGGGAAAAAAAAGATGTGAGAGAATTTTTATACTCTGTAGTAACTAGTGGATAAAGGGGAATTACAACCTGAGGTTCATTACTTAGTTTATCTACAGGTAAAATTTGTTATACTAGCCTGGCCGCTAGGGTGCAACAGTAATAGTTAATCCAGTCAGTTCTTGATATGATAAAATTATGTACACAGGTAAATATTCATACTTAAAAAACACTCGGAACATAGTAGTGAATTAGTGATAGTACCATTCATTCATCAAATATGGTAGAACAAAAGCACGACATATTTCTTCTTGGGCAATAATATGCCTTCAGAAAACACACAGCTTAAAACCAGGGAGAATAGCATCATAAACTAGAAACGATTTCAATCAGGCACAAAAAATTGTCAATGAGAGAAAATTAAGCAACATGCAACTATCGATTAAATGGCAAGCACAGAATTTTACAGCATTTTTCTTTCCCAAAATTTTAAGACATGCTCACATAAGCTGTTACTGAGTATGATATGACCAGACAGCCAACTGCGCAAATACTAAGGTGGCTCCAATGTTAGCCAAGCAATAAAAAATTGTCTTAATATTGAAAACATACCCTTGCCTTTAACTCTTTGTTGTCTGCAAGAACCCAACAGTGATCAATACGAATGACAAAAGGCTCGTCTTTCTCATCAGTGGACACCATTTGATGTCCTCCTAAAGCAGCCAACCTTCTTACCAAAGCCCTATCTGAATCCAACGGGTTCTTTAGGAGGACTACATCACCAACAGAAACTTGTCTATATACCAGTCTGAACCTGATATTCGATTGACATGGTTAATTAGCCAGCAAAGCATGCACTCTGAATATCTCAAAGCAATTAGTTTTCAAACAATAAACTTCAAACCCAAATTGAATTGCAGAAAAAAGTCCAACTAAAAAGATCTGTCAAAGTTAAGCCTAAATAGTATATACATAGCTTGAATAAGGTATGTATCCAAGATTGGCAGGGCCTTGGCAGTTAGAAACACTGCCATTTGTAATAAGGCTGCTGTGTGCAAATTGATTGGGTCGGAGGGCCAGAGGCTTACAAAAAGGACAGCATGTAGGTCTAATGGTACACTGTGTACATAATAAGGAAGAGGCTTGAGACTTGAGACTTGAAGGGGTATGAAGCTCCTAAGGGTGCTAGCTAGACATGAAAGTATGGTTGTAAGGCAAAGGGGGATATATATGGTAGCCTTCACAGCCAGCAGTGGCTGGATGCCAAATACTAATCTTTTAGAATATGTACAGCCACCTTTGTGGTTTTGAGCCTAGAATCCATTGGGAGGGAAGTGTATGGAATTGGAATAGACAGTCTTCGACTGCATGTAGGTTATCCTATGGCTTGCTATTCATTCACGACTGCAAATAAAAAGTAAGCTTGAAAAACTGACACTAAACACAAAACACATCACAGAGGAAACAGAGATGAACTTGCAGCAATTAACATAGAGTGTTGAAGAAGAATTACTTAAGATTTGGACAGGGCAAGTTGCGTATAAGAAGAGTTTCATGTCTTCCAGGAATAGTTGGTGCCATCTCTTGACCCTCACTCCTATACACATAGGTCATTTTCCTCTGGATAAAATCCTTACACCAGTTAGCCAAGGTATCATCATCTGAGATTCCACCAGCAAGGCGTTTCTACATTATAATGGTAAATATTAGAACACCTTGCATTTAAAAGATGAATAAACAAGAAGCACTGAGTCATCTTCCAACTAGTAGTAGAGTTTGGTTTAAATACAATGGCGCTGATGCTTTACAAATTTACAATGCTCTCTGAAGTAAACAAGTTGACTTCTTATAATAGAAGCTCCTAAACTTTGGTTATTACCATGTGAGAGACTTATCTAGGTTTCTCCAAACACTCACCACCCAGCAAATTTAGATTTCAAAATCTAGCAGAGGAACAACAGAACAACAATGAACTGGATTCATTCACCATATGTTAAAGATTTTCAAGAAAAAACGCCTTATGAGTATGGTTATGATCACACATTCACTTAAATAACGGTATCGAATTTCATCTAAACAAACTTTCTGCTCATACCAAGATGCCTTATTAATAATCAATTGGTTCTGATATCCTATCACCATTTCAAACTCAAAGAACCAAACTGCAACAAAGGAAGAAACTGCAAAGTTCTACTGCAATGTACATAAAGTTCAGTGTCAGCCAAAGTCAAGAAATAGAGAGCAAGACTGAGCTTTTATGAATTCAGGTGAATAGTTTTTAACATTATACAGGAAATTCGTGTTAGAGCTCCTAGTCCAGCCAGGAAGATCATTCTGGCTGAACATTGAAGAACTTCATTTTTAATTCAATGTACTATGTTCTGTTAGCAGCAACTTTGGTTTCTTCCCAAGTATACCGGAGATTTAATATCTTGCATTCAACTCATTATGTTCTTCGAGCCAACAAGGGTAAGTACTATACCAAATCTTCATTCCCATATTCTTGACCCTTTATACATACACGAGATCCCCTCTTTTGCTACGATGGTTGCTAGAGAGAGCTCAAATAAGCCAAAAGTATTTAGACAATAACTTTGTTTGCCTAAGCATCCAAAAGTGAAGTAACTTATAAATTAACTTGAGTAATCAACTAAGTTCAAGGAGGTTTGCAATGTTCAACCAATTCTTTCTTTGTAGATGACCACCCTACACAAACTACAAACTAATCAATGCACCATCGCGAATACCTTTTTTCTAGCTTTGTATTTTACTTCGACTCTTCGTTTTACTTCAAGTATCGGATACTCTGTTAAACTGGGTGTACACATTGGAGACTTGACACACCATTTTGGACCAAAACCATGCAAATTCCTTATAAAATGGACCAAAACACTCCATTTTACACACCCTAACAACCCACATAATTAATCTTGTAAACAGAAATTTCCCCTAATCAATCTTGGAAAGCAATACATCGCAAAAGTAACATTCAACCCAAAAAAAACTTAATTTCTTGCTGTAACGACAGTATTGCTAAACCCTAAATACTTAAAACTTCATTTCTGTAAAGAAAAACAAAATCATAACTCTTGAAATTGAAAATGTCAACCCATTGCACAAACAAACAATTGGAGCCAAACCCAGAAACAATATAGTGATTGCAGAACTAAAAATGGAATTAAAAATGCAATAATCTCAAAAAATAACAAAAACCCAGAAGAATAGAGTAATGAAAGACAAATAATATCAAATTGACATTCAAAACAAAAGAGAGTGGAAGAGAGAGAAACCTTAGTGGAGAGAGCAGCAGTGTAAACAAGCTTGGTTCGAAAATAAAGATATTTTGAGGGGATCCAGAAGTTATTCCACTTCATCTCTCTTATTAACATTTGAACTTTACTACTTTTGATGCAATTCCAAGAAGAAAGAAGAATGCAATTTGAGAGCCCTTTGATTTAATGAGTTTCTTGAATTACAATGTGGAAATGATTGGACAATTTTGGAGTAAAATGTTGGGAGTACAAGAGTTTGTTGGTCTAACTAAATGTTTTTGGTTATGTAGTTACACTACACTCACAGTCTCACACCCAAGGCCAAAACCGTCGTTGGTGAGGGACTGGGGAGGGACTAGGGAGGGCTTCCAAATGGATATCTGCTTATCTGGTAGACCGGTCACCGGTCAGTATGTACAAGTTAATTTCATGTTACTTAATACGGAATACTACGGAGTACTATATATTACGAGTAGTATCAGTTCTCGTGCTGACTTTACTAATTTGATAAATGATAGAATACTATTTATCACGGATAATTATTAGCTATGTAATACGGTAGTACTATTTATTAATTGAGCTATACTATTTTAAATATAATTAAAAAAAATTAAATAGCACAATATAGTAAAAGATAATAATATAATTATAGTGATACTAGTAATCATTATAGTTTATAACGTGTGTGGCTGATACACCGTGTGGCCGGAGTTACTTATTCAGAGGTTACTCGGTCGGTTAAAGGTTATTTATTCAAGGGATACCTGGTTAGGTGTTACTTATTTAGGGTTTATTCGGTCGGCCAGGGGTTACTTCGTCGGTTAGAGATTACTCGATCGGTCAAAAGTCACTTGATCGGTCAGAAGTTACCCTTGAATAAGTAACCCCTGATTTGGGGATTTTTACCTCGCCACGTGGCCCAATGAGAGTGTGACACGTGTCACCCTAAAGGAGTCCAAATGGACTCACCTGGATTTGACACGTGGCATACAAATACTCATAAGGGAATGACGACTTTCATAGCCCGATTCCCAAGAAAACCGCAAAGCGGCGCAGCCCACCAAATCTAGGTAAGGGCACATTTACCAATGACCCTATGAATAGGGAAAATTACCCCATTTTGGGGACACATTCATTTATTACATCACTATCAATTCTCTTACAATAGAGAAAACACCTGATTTTGGGATCCGAGAAGATCTACTTTTACTTTCCGTTTTTTTTTACTCTAAACACGTATTAACTTGATAGTCAGAGGCGGAACTCCGAACATCCGGAGCTTCCATTTGTTTGCAGGTACAGGCAGCGAGGACCTAGTCTCGGTGACGTAATTCTCCCGCAAGACACATAAAAAAAACCCCGAAACAACCCCGGCCACACGATGTGGCCAACCACATATGAAACTTTGTGTATAGTTTATTGTCTATTAATTTTTGTAAACGTATTAGACTTGTTTGGAACTTATCGAACCTAATTAATTACTTGGTATAACTTAATGGAATTTGTTGGACTCGATTAGACTTAATTAAAACCAATTGGACTTGATTGAAACTCATTTGAACATGAAACATTGAAATATACTTCAAATAGTTTTTGTTTATCTATTTTTTTAAAAAAGGTGAAGTAGAACCTAATCTTTAGCATTTGCGGTTTGAGCTTGAGCTTGTAAAAGCCGACCGAGAGTGTCCATTATCAAATGTCAAACTTGCCAATTATACCAAACTAGATATAAATAAAATGAAACTCTCAAATTTGATAAATCACCTTATTAATTTAATAAATCTAATTACATATACTCCGTCTTAAACCACTCTCCTAATGAATGGCAAGATAGCCTACAAATTACCTGAATAATGGGCCATGAAATTTTCGCATCTACCAAAATGCACATTTGGCTATGATGCCATTGTAGCCAATGTGTCTTTGTCAAAGAGTTGATACTAAAACAGCCAGAGCACCCAATGCTTAAAGATGCTAAAACTAAAACCACACATAACTAATACTAAACTGAATCTCGCTGCTAAAACATTCAGTTAAATCGGAGCCGTTTACTCTAGCTGCCTTTGTATCATCCCGATCTTGTCAAAGTCAGATGAACTCCTTATGCTGCAACCCTAAAGAAACAAAAGGGTATAAGAGTGTTGGGGAATGGTGAAAGGAAATTATGACGGGCATATAATAGCAAATACCTGTAGTTCTGTACCTAGAACTCTCATGTTCGAGAGTCCTTACTATTTTTATCATTATTGAGTTGCACTTCAGCAGGATCTAGTTCTACGAAGAGGACTGAACGGTCATTCCGCAAACTGTACTTACTACAAAATTTAGGAGAAAGAGAGAGAGAGAGAGAGAGAGCAAATAGTCAGGTTCTGGTGCTTATCTTTGAAGGGTGGAAGCAACTAAGCCAGTTGAGAGGCTTACCTGTTCACCACAATATTGTGATCTTTGGCTGTTTGAAACCTGTAGATGACTCTACCCACAATGTTTGTTATGGAGATTGGTCCGTATGTACGACTATCATTACTTTCCTGCAAAGACACAATGTTCCAAACAAAATGTCAATCCTCATACTAAAATTTGATACGAAAATAAGCCAATAATCCCTTGTGTAAGTATAAAAGTTGAATCAGACTGGACACACATTATGCATGCAGGGCACTAACAGTTGCTGTCAAAATATGACTAACTCTCTGAGCAGAGCTAAATACAGCACAAAGTAATTCAGTTATAGATCAGCTACACCACTACAACTTGGGTATGACCTCAGAAACCCAAGAAGCACTTAAGTTGTGACAAACACACCAGGGATTTGTCAATACTCTGAAATTTGTAATAACACTAGTGGCATCATCAGCGTTTTCAAGCTTGCAGGGCTGCAAGCCAAATTATAGACAGGACTCAGAGGAAAATGGGAGGCTCTTGACAAAGGAAGAATAGTTATGCCATTATAGGTATTGATAAGGCCAAAAAGATTTTGAGGTGACTTTCATGAGTATTGACTTTCATGCAGTTATTGGTGGTATTTGTAAAATTGTAACGAAATTGATGTTCAATGTTTGCTTCTTAATATTACAGAGGTGGCACTCTCATGCTATAAATTTTTTATAATGAAAGAATATTATTATGGACTCAATTCTCAATATCCTCTTAAGGACGTTGAAAAATTAGGAGACCTTCAAGGTCAGCTTCAGAATTTCAAACATTCTCTTTTATTCGTACTCTTATAAATATACAAAAACAAAGACTTCATTATTTCATAATGCAGATGTGCAGTATACCAACTTGATGAAGCATAAATCAAAACTATTCAAGGTCAAATTTTATAGAAATCGAAAAAAGGGTGAGAAGTTTCTATATAAATTTCAAGTCTTTAAGATGAAACTCAAATTTTGCAGATTGAAGGAGAAGTCTGTAACGCATGTTTGGCAACTATGTGCAAGATCAAAATCTAACTGTCAGTTTTCAGTAAAGCCTTGATGAGCACAGTGCAATCCTTAATTTTCATATTGTTATTTTTTTATTAAGGAAAACAATTTTTTGTTGCTATTCATGACAGAATACTTGCAAGTCGTTTTAAGCAATCTACTAAATTGAAAAAACAAATCTGAGTGAGGGAGGACAAAGAGTTTAACCAATGAATTGAACTTGATGGACAAAATAGACAAAAATGTCTGCTCACAAAAAATCACGGAATAAAAGCCATTGAAGTGGATGCTACAATAAAACTATGCAAGTAACCTAGTTTGTTAATGGCTATCCATTAGCCCACTACTGTTCTTAAAGGAGAACTATAACCTTGTTGTTCAATACCCAGTATCATCTTCCCTACTCCCCACCCCCACCCCTGCAAAAAACAACAAAATAAAAGCGAATATAGGAGCCAATGAAGTAACTACTATTATGAGAGAAACTTTGTTAATGGCTATTGTTTTTCCCAGCAGAACTTCTAACCTTGTTATTCAGTATCCAGTGTCATCTCCTCTACTCCCCAACCAAATAAAGAAGCAAACATTACAAACATATGTACAAGGGGGGGGGGGGGGGGAGGGTGCAGTGCAGTCAGGGACTCACCTATAATATCTTCCCACAGAAATAATGATTTAGAGAAAATAGGTCAAAGCGCACAGTCCGAGCGAGTAGCTAGCACAAGCAATAGTTCCAACATGCATACAATGTGGTCAATGTCAAAAGATATGAATCTTTAGCATCGTGCTTGCAATTGCCTCTAGCGGCGTTTTATGTCTCACCAAAAAGAGAATACTTGCACAAAGTAAAGGAGTGGAGTGAAAAAATATACAAGTACAAAGGGATAAAATATGCCTCCACAGGTTAGTGTTTACCTCTGGCTTCAGATTTTTGTTGTCAGAAAGGACCCAGCACTGCCCATCTTTTAAAACAAAAGACTCGTCATCCTTGTTAGTGGAGACCATTTCATATCCGCTGACAGCAGCCAGTCTCCTTACCACATAATTGTTTGAATTCAAAGGATCCTTTAAAACAACTACATCACCCACATGAATGTCCTGCGGATTTCCCCGAAACCTGGAAATGACATTTCAAATTAGACTGCATGCAATTGCTTCAACATCAATTTGCAATTAGAAAGTCTACAAGAGTAAAGAAAGAGATGTCTTTTTAACACCTTGAAAAAAAAGGGAACAGTGAAATTTATAGAGGACAACTATACAAGTCTAATTTGAGAACGCCATAGTAATATGAAACTAAAATTGAATAACAGAAAACATCTACGCCTTCTAGGAAAGGTCTTGCTAAAACACAAATAACTGTAAACTATGGCAATGTTCTCACCCAAGCAAGAATGGCACAACAATCAAACAATAGAAAAGGAAATTTCACTGAAGACAATCAAAGGCTATTACCTTGCATTCACATAAGGGAGTTTCCGAACAAAGAGAGTCTCGTTAACAGAAATAGTGGGCTCCATCTCTGAACCCTTGCTCTGACAGAAAAAAGTCATCTTCTCAGCGACTGCATTCTTTAAATAAGTGTTTAAGAGATCTCCACGCAAAAGTTGACCTGCATTACGTTTCTGCATCATGATGCAGAAGACAAGAAGAATCACTATTTCAATCAAATTAAAACTGTGAAAATCTCAGTTGGCTTATTAAGTGACATTTACTGGGGATGCCAAACATGGAAATTATATGTAATCCAACCTAAGGGATATAATCTTCCAAATTCAGCAGTACAACATTCAACCATTCAGTTAAAGCACAAGCATCTTTAAAAAAGTGTTCAACTATGGCCTCATATCATCATTAATTTACCCTTTAATAGGTGAATACTTATGTATCTCTAATCAATCGACAAAAGTTTGTGGCAGGGTAATCAACACTATAAAATCTGCACCATTCGTATTAAGAAACAAATTATGCATTACCATGTCGCTTATGATAACCGTTCAACTGTTCAAGCATATAATAAGTCAAGGGTTATCTAGACAATTAACATTTCTGTAGACACGAGGTGCTAAACTGGGGATTTGGGGATGTTCATAATTTTTACAATCCACCATAATCAAGCTGAACAAGAAGTTAATCAACCCACCAAAATGACTATTTTTTATCTTTAACATCATCAATATTCTAAATATTTATGGGACAAATTGAAGGTTAAAGTATCTAAACCCTTGAATCATTTCTGGAAGCACTATTACTAAAACTGCTTTCAGTCATTACTTCATGTTCAAAAAACCCCAAAAAATTATCATCATACAGTCTTTAAAAAGGCCACAAATTCTGGGAATTAACCCAATAAAAGTATGAAATCTAAAATCTGGGAATTAACCCAGAAAGTATGTAACACTAATACAAACTTCCCAGAAAAACATGTAATCTAAATTTATGCAAACCCAGAAAATGTGAAACTGATCAAAAATTCAGAATTAGCAATCAAAAGAGAGACCTGCACAGTGATCAAGGCAGCAAAATCGCATTTTTGACCCAGATACTCCCAACAGAGCTTCAACCTCCATAGTTGCCGCATCGTATTCGAAAAACCCACAAAAAAAAAAAAAAAAAAAAAAAACGGTCTCTTTTTTTGGCCTCTTTCAATCACTCTATGAACAACCCTAAATTTTCAATTCAGCAAATGAAATCTGTGTAAATAGAGAGAAAGAGAGATGAGAATGGGATCATGGTTTCTTTGTTGCAGACTTGCACTGGTAATTTATTTACTGGTATATGCTATAAGCAGTGCTTATGAAAATGCTCTTTCTGCTATAAAGTGTACGAATAGCCAAAACAGTACAACACTACTATTACCTCTGTCCCTTTATCTTAGACCACTTTTAATGGTGAGCAAAAAAAATGCTCATCCACTCTCTCTCTACAAATCAATTTTGTTCATGGGCAAATTTTTTTTACATTTCCTCTTCCAATGGTGAGCAAAAAAACTGCTCACCCACCACTATCTCTCTCTTACTTTTTCAATACCCCACCATAACTTTCTCTCTCCTACGCAACACTTCTTTATTTATTTATTTCATTTATATTTTAACAATATTACTCCAAATAAATAAAAACTAGTTTAAATTTGTGTAACTTATTTTTTTTATTTTTGTCTTTTTTATCGTCAAAATTTGTCGTAAAATTAAGTACGTTATATAAAAAAATTGTAAAAAAAATTATTTATTTTAAAAGCGGTACAATACTAGAGAACAATTACATTTGCAACGTCATGCGCAATTAAAGTTAGGAACTAAAATAAACACAACAACTAAAAAATAACTCGACTGCGTACGGAAAAGTAGCTACGCCATAGTACTTGGCTTTATTTAAGTCGTCTAATTTCTCCCTAATTACGTGGCCCGTATCGTTGCCAAATATGTTCGACTAAATCACGTTTCAGAGATAGATGAATTTCTCTGTCACGGAGGGAAGCTTTTCGCTGTAGAAATGCGTTGAAGTCAAAGTTGGTAGGTCGGCCTACGTTGAATTCAAACGGTGGCGTTGTAGATGTTGATGCTGGTGTTGATTCTTGTTGATCTTCTTCGTAGAAGGCTCTTAGAACTTCGACTCGAGTGTAGTTGTGGCGCTCATCTTCAACAATCATGTTGTGCATAATGATACATGTTTTCATTATGTCTCGCAGTATGTCCTCATCGTACGCCAGTGACGGTTTTCGTATTATTGCAAATCGAGCTTGCAAAACACCGAATGCTCTTTCAACGTCCTTTCGAGCAGCAGCCTGGTGGTCAGCGAACAATTTATCTTTTTGAAGTTGAGGGGTTGTGATACCCTGAACAAAAGTTGCCCACTTCGGATAAATACCGTCGGCTAAGTAATATGCCATGTTGTATTCATGGCCGTTAACGGTAAAATTTACCGGAGGAGCTTGACCATGCAGAACCTCATCGAACACTGGGGAACGGTATAAGACATTTAGGTCATTACAAGATCCAGGAATCCCAAAGAAGGAATGCCATATCCATAAATCCTGATCTGCAACGGCTTCCAGTATTAGCGTTGTTTTCTTGTTCCTACCGGCGTACTGCGCTTTCCACGCCGTTGGACAATTTTTCCATTCCCAATGCATGCAATCAATGCTGCCTCTCATGCCTGGAAATCCACGCAATTCATTTTGATGCAGTATTCTGGCCAATTCATCAGTTGTAGGGTTTCGCATGTACTCGGTTCCGAACTGATCAATGACCCCGGTACAAAAACATTGAAGGGCAACTCGAGCGGTTGAATCACTGATCCGAACGTATTCATCCACGGCGTACTGATCCGAGTGTGTTACTACCAAGATCAGTTTCAGGTGTACGATCTTCATTAGCAGGGTTTTGTAGGGGAACCTCAGTGGGTGTTTGATGCAGTGGAGGTGGTTGCGACGACATATTGCCCATTCTTTGCAAGAACAATTGAAACTCGGGATTAGTTAGGAAATCATCACTAAAACCCGAAAATTGTTGACGGAAATTTGGGTTGTTTGGATCCATTAAAAGATTCTGCACCAAAAAACAAAAGATAAATATCGTTACAAACATTTACTCAAAAAACAAATTAAAATGATAACAAATCCAAAAAAATATCAACAACTTTCTTCAATTGCATAATGCAATTACATTACATGCCATACAATATTTTTTTTTCCTCACAAAATAACATATATACTAATTTTAACACATAACTACATGTACATATTAAAGAAAATAATTAACCAATACTTGCAACACTTTAACAACTATGAATTTAGAAATTTCTTGAGAAAATATACACAACTGTGTTTAATTACATAATGCAATATAATTTCGTGGCCTATCATATTGATTTTTTTTCCAAAAAACCAAACATATACTAATTTTATTATGTAACTACATTTATATATAGCAAAAAAATTAACCAATAATTGCAACACTTTAAAGAACTACAAATTTAGTAATGTATGGAGAAAATATACACAACTTTGTTTAATTACATAATGCAATTTAATTTCGTGGCCTATAATTTTTTTTTTCCATAAAATCACATATATACTAATTTTATTAAGTAAATACATTTATATATAGCAACAAAAATTTACCATTAATTGCAACAACACTTTAATAACTACAAATTTAGAAATTTATGGACAAAATATAAACAACTTTGTTAATAATTACATATTGCAATATAATTACATGGCCTACAATTTTTTTTATTTTTTTAAAAAATCACATATATACTACTTATATTATATAACTGATTATAAAAATTAAATAATTTTTTTTTACCTCAATATGGATGAATTGCAACAACAATATTCTTCTACAAATTTAAAATACTTTTAAGAAAATTAAAATTTGGAGGATTTTAAAGTGTTTACGAAATTATATCAAAATATATCAAAATGCATGTCTATTTATAGAGAATTTAATTTTATGACCGTTGGTAATTTTTTTTTTTTTTTACAAAATATATTTTTCTGAAAATGCTTAATAAATAAATAACCGTTGTAAACGGCTAGTAATTTGTGATTGGCTGCAGCTGCCACGCGTCGCCTCTCCACTCGCCAAGAGTCTGCACGCGTCAGCACCACTATCTTTTTTTTTAAATTCTGGCAACTCAAAACGACGCGTTTTGAGGCGCGCCTTTGAGGCAGCTTCATCAAAATGCGTCGTTTTGATGCTGTGGGGGGCGAAGTTTTTGGGATTTGTTAAACATCGCCCACAAATTACTACATAAAGCCCACAAATTTCACTTGGTTTGACAAAATTGCCCTTGAGCTTAAAAAAAAAACACTCACACTCTCATCACTCACACTCTCATTGCTCATCTTCTTTCAACCTCTCTAAAAAAAAAAAATTTCAAACAACGACAATGTCGAGGCGGCAAGGCAAGGAATTGGCGGCGGCGGCGGAGGGAAGGATGTCCCAAGGAGGAAAGGTACAATTTGTAAAAAAAAAAAAAAAAAAAAAAAGGGAAAAACCGCCGTGACGGCGGTGGGGCGCCCTGGCTGGACGCCCAGCCAGCGGTGGTGGCGCCAGCTGCAGACGCCGCCACCAGTAGGCTGGCGCCTGGGCTGGACGCCACAGCCACGGTATTCAAGGCGCCGCAGCCGTGGCTGTGGCGTTTATTCAAGGCGCCGCAGCCGTGGCTGTGGCGTTTATTCAAGGCGCCGCAGCCGTGGCTGTGGCGTCCAGCCCAGGCGCCAGCCCACTGGTGGCGGCGTCTGCAGTTGGCGCCACCACTGCTGGCTGGGCGTCCAGCCAAGGCGCCCCCCCCCTTTTTTATATATATTTGTTTTAAAATATTGTTTTTAATTTTTTTTTTTTTGTGTAATATATTTTTGAATTGTTTTTATATTTTGTTGTTTATTTTTATAAATTTTTTCAATTTCGTTGTATTTTTTCTATGTTTATATTTTGTTTACAATTATTTGTATGTTTTTAGTTTATTTGATTTGGGAGTGGTAGCTATTTTTCGTATAAATTTTTGTATGTTTATATATTTTAAAATTTTATGTAGAATTCACTGGGTCGTCATGGTGCGGGGAAGAATATAGAGCTTCTTAGTAGAAGCTATTCAGTGGAGAGGTCGGGGCATAGACATGTCATATCCCGTGGTATTTCGGCCTCAGCTCGTAGAGAACGGATCCACCGTCGGGATGAGGATGAGGATGACGATGACGATGATGATGCTGAGGAGGGTGACCAGGAGGAGGAGCAGGAGGAGGGCGCAGATGAGGATGAGGATGTGGACGATGGCAGTGGACCGTATGATGATTACGGTCCATTCAGTCAGAGGGTTGATGACATGTACGAGACACATATGGTGGAGGTGCGTAAGGGTAGGGGTGGTAGGTTTGTTAGTAGATCTGGCACATCATCTGCGTCCACTGTATCTGGGGCAAGCAGGAAACGGTCGAGGGCCGGTAATGATTCTTGGGTTGTTAGGAGTGAGGTGCCCGGTGGGCCTGTTGACGGGAGTGTGATTCCTAGCTTTCTAGGACACATAGATGCCCGTATTTGGGAGGACCAGGAGAGGCCTTCAGTTAAGGGGTTGTTGAAATGTCATACCCGGGAAAAGACTTGTAGCTTTTTGCGTACATGGGCTGAGGCCTGGCCGGCGGAGAGCGAGATGTTCGAGCGACTGGAGGGCACTGGGGTGAATCACGTTCCTGCCACCATGCACGATAAGATTGACAGTACGTTGATCACGGCTTTCATTGAGCGATGGCAGCCGGATACAAACTCTTTCCACCTTCCGTTCGGTGAGATGACGATCATGTTACATGACGTCGAGGCCATTCTGGGGATTTGTGTTGAGGGTAAACGACTTTGTGCTGTGGCTGATGCGGATCAGGCAGATTTGCTGGCGGAGTTGTTGGCGGTGGACAGGGCTGCACTGTACACCGAGGCGCTAGGTGTTTGGGAACACGGAGGTGTGAAGATCGCATCCGTGTTGCAGCGGTGTTTGTACCCCAGTGCACGTAGGACGCACGACGCACAGCTGAGTGCTTATGTTTTTCTACTCCTCGGATGTACCTTGTTTCCGGATAAGAGCGGCGGAAACAAGATCAGGCCACGCGACATAGTAGAGGCGTGTGACCCCGACAGTGTAGGCCAGTTTTCCTGGGGATCGGCTACGTTGGCGTATTTGTATCGCCAACTAGGATTTGCGAGTCGGGCTGACGCGGCAGGTATCACTGGGTGTCTGACTCTATTGCAGACCTGGATATACGAGTACTTTCCTGCATTGCGACCACATCGTGACCCAGTTCCTATTGATGAGGGGATGCCGCGTGCTTGTGCGTGGAGTCCGCGCTCGGAGAAGAAGTCCGTTGACCGCCTCCGATCGATACGGTTATTGCTGGACAGGCTGTCCCCCTTAGAGGTAACGTTTATAAATTGTTTCTACAT